GGGTCTCACGGCCGGCGCCGCCGCCTTCGGATTCTTGTTTCCCTCGCCCTGGGTTTTGGAGGAGGGGGCGAAGACTGAGTTGCCGACTTTTCTTTTTCCTTTCCTTTCCCTTTTTTTTTTTTTTTTTTGAGCGAGGGGAATATCGTCCTAAATCAAAGGAATGAAGTCTGGCTCCGGAGAAGGGTCCCCGACCTCGCTGTGGGGGCTCCTGTTTCTCTCTGCGGCGCTCTCGCTCTGGCCGACGAGTGGAGAAAGTGAGTATGGGCTCCGCCGCCCGCGGCCACTGCGGGAACTTTTTCTCCGAGGGGCTGCGCCCTGTTTGCGAAACCCGAGTTGCCACCGTCGCAGCTGTCGGTCCTCGGGCCCGGGAGCGGCCGGGCGGGGAGCGGAGGGCCCGGTCGGAGCGGCCCTGGGGCTGAGCTTGTGAGTTTGGAGCCCGCGGGCCCTGGCTCAGCGCATCCCGCTCGGGAACAGCCTCATGGGCTTTCTCGTTCGCTGTCCCGAGAGTCCTGCCGCTTGAGCCCGGCCGGTCGGCAGCGCTCACTCCGGGGCGGTGCCATGGCCGGGCCAGGCGCTGGGCTCCGCGGGGAAGTTAGAGTGAGGTCGTCCCCACACCCTTAGGGTCCACCGCCCGCATCTCGCCCTCCCCGGCGCGCGGGGCCGCTTCGCACACCGCGCTGGCCCCGTACGGTGCGCAGGCGGCTGTGAGAGCTCCCGCGGCCGCACCGCGCCCTCGCTGCTGGAGTCCACGCGGGGGCCGGTGGCCAGGAGCCGGGAGCCGCCTGGCTCGTGGGGTGCAAGTTGCCCTCGAGGAAGAGGTGTCCCGCACGGAGCCCCGCAGCCCCAGGACATGTTTCCAAACATCCCAGGGCTGCGCGGCGCGGCTTCCTGTCCCTCAGTGTGTTTCGCCTATTGAGCGGTTTTGATCCCACAAGTAGTTATCAGGTGGTGTGCGCTCCTTGGATTCCTGGTCTTTCTCTGCACATCGCTCGCTCCGCGGAGGATTACCTGCCGGGAATGATCTGCCCCCGGAATCCCAGACAAGGCTCGGGGAGGGGAGGGCGGCGTTCCTGCCTCGCCCCCGGCTCAGACTCTTGGCAAGTGCGGGGTCAGGTCTCTCATCAGCAAGACCCTTCCGGGAACCGCGTCGGTGCCCCAGTTCAGAGGTTTCTGGGATCTTCTCCCATTTTCTACTTGGCTCTGACCGCATTTTCTCCCCCTGAGGGCTGGCCTGGGGGCTAGGGCAGCCTCCGAGTGAACGTTCGCGGGTGTGTGGTCGAAGCTGACGTGCGTATTTACACCCTTGCTCCCAACCCGGGGTGTAGCAGCCGCCACACGGCCCCGGCAGAGGTGTGCTGCGCTGTTGTTTCAGGAGCACCAGGATCAGCGTGTGTGTGTGTAGGGGGGAGTGTTTTGGCGAGCGCGAAGTCCTGGCCTCTGTTTTGTTGTGGCCGGGGTTGTGCTGCCCCCCCCCCCCAAATGCCCTGCGTTTCCTTTGTACATAGTTAATAAGCAATATCGTTCCACACGCGCTATCGCTTGCAATCTGATAGCTTTTGTTTTGGTAGCGTCGGGTACGGGTAGGGAATCGCTGGGAGACAGAAGGAGCGAGAACTTAGGGCCTCACGGTGTGTGGAGTAGGAGGGAGTTTTATTCTCAAGAAGTAAAGTGGCTTACCGTACACTCGAGATGGTAGGGTGGATGGGTAATTTGAACACGATTAGAAGTTTAAATACAGTCGCAGAGCTGCGGCTGGGAAAGGTGAGGGCGTGCTGGTGAGTAATGGTTGCGCAGGGTATGCAGGTGGTGCCGATTAACTTGGAAAAATCACGACTGAACCTTGAAGAGAGGAGAAGCAGGAGGCTGCGCGCACGGGGGCGGCGCCGTCTGGCCCTATCACGGGCAGTTCAGAAAGGTGGTTTCTATAAACGAACCTTTCTTAAATGTCTTCTGAGAAACGAGTTGACGTCGGAGTAGGAGCAGATCGTTATGGAATTAGCATGTTTATAGCACAGAGTTGCTGGAAGACACAGATTGGGGCCGGGACCGTCCACAAATCTGCACTCCTCTCTGCTCTTTGTTTTCTAAACTTTCAGTACGCTAGATTGGGCGAAAGGCTTCCGGTCCCTCTGCTTAGGAGTTTAGGTGGTGTTTGGCGGACAGGGGAGGGTTTCTAGCTTTTAAAAGCTAAATATATTTAGAAGACATGGGAAAGCTAATCCATTTTACTGTGGCAAACTGTACGGTTTCTCTAGTTTTATTTTTTAATGTTAGGAAGTTCCAAAAATTCAAAATAGCAATGATGGCCTTGTTTCTCAGAAGTCCGGCATTTTAAAATAGGATGACTTGTTTGGAGCACTTTTCATAAAAATATTCTTTGTGAAAGGCAGTTCTTTCTTGAGAAAACAGAGAAGAGGGAAAGGGATAGTTTAATGTATGCTTATCATTCCCCGACACCAAAGCTTTTCCCAAAGATCCCTGTAAAATGGCTGGTTCCTTAAAACTTGGTGGATGGCCAGAAGGCACCCCAAATCCCGGTTATGGCTTGTCGAGGTCTTGACTCCATGCCTGCCTGTCCCTACGTCTCTGTCTCCGTAGTTTTGAGGATTAAACGGTGTGCTCAGTGTTAACATGCATTGAATTCTCAGTCAGAAGGGGGCTAGTGAGAAATAAGCTACAGACTAGCGCATACTTTCGGCTGTTGTCTAGGATAGTGATAAAGATTTGGGTGTTTTTGGTGCTGGCATACTTAAGGATTAGTGTCTCTTCTTCAAATGTGAAAGCAATAGGATGAGTTTTTTTTCCCCTTTAACTTAGAAAATGTGGAAGTCTTTCAAGCAGATGAGGTTATATGGACCGGCTTGTATATCACTATAATGTGACCAGAGCATCTAAATAAGGGAGGTTTGGAAGTTATGAGTAATAGCTGAATAATCTGATGGTTACTTTTTTTTTTTTTTTAAGATTAACATTCACTTTCAACTTACTGTAGCCATTATTTCATTAAAAAGATTGAAGGGATAACAGTCCTCTTTCTCCCCCAGGCACAATAATATCCTGTTGTCAGAGAAATAATAGGTATGTGAAATGTTGGTGTTTAAAGAAGTTACTGTTTTACCATCAGAAGGAGAACCCAGAATAAGAATTTTTGAAAGAGCCTAAATAGCAAATTATAGCTTAGACTTTCTAGAGGGAAATGCAAGTATACGGTAGTTTGAGGAGAGGTGGGGCGTAGGTCAGGATTCCAAGTTGTAAAGGTCATATGTTTGATTTTTCAAAAGGGCTAGAAAAGTCCAACCTTGAGAAACATGTCAAGGTTGAATGGATGAACTTTAAAAACATAATGCTAATTGAAAGAAAAAAACCCATTGCCGTTGAGTTGATTCCAACTCAGAGCAACCCTATAGGACACAGTAGAACTGCCCCATAGAGTTTCTAAGGAGCAGCTGGTGGATTCGAACTACGGACCTTTTGGTTAGCAGCCCATCTCTTAACCACTGAGCCACTAGAGCTCTAATTGAAAGAAGGTAGTCACAAAGGATCACATGTGATATGATTCCATTTTACTATATGAAGTGTCCAGAATAGTCAAGTCCATAGAGACAGAAAGTAGATTAGTGGTTGCCAGGGGCTGGTGGGAGGAAGGAATGGGGAATGACTGCTAATGGGTACAGGGTTTCTTTTGGGGTGATGAAAATATTCTAAAATTAGATTGTGGTGATGGTTGCACAACTCTGTATATATTGAATATAATGAAAAACATGATCAGTGACTTTAATGTATATCTCAATAAAGCCATGTTTTGTTTTATTTTGTTTTTAAAGAAATATGCTAAGGTTGAAAAGAATGCATTGTGCTACCTTGAATGCAGAAGTTAGGCTAAAATTATTCAGTAAATTTGCTTTGCAGGTTGATTATCTGTTTCTTTTTAATGTATAGAGTTTTTCAGATCCGTGAACCCCAGCAGTGCACCAAACTGGTCATTAAAGCTCTGGCAGTAGGGATTCAGTGCCTTAGTGGAAGTGGGCAAGCAGGCAGAAAGGACCTTGGTTATACATAGCTCGAGTTAAGGATTGAGGGATTGGATTAAAAAACGTGAGTGCCAATGAAAGTCAAATCTGTTATAGTAAAATCCTCAACTGAGTATGAATGGCATTGGTTTTTTCAAGATAAAGTTAGTTTGAGTTCAGGAGCTGAGTCTAGATGGCTGTTTGTATTTCCAGTTTTCTTACTGTGTTTTCCAACAAAGAGATAATGTAACGTTTAATGACGATAAAGAATTTCCATTCTCTTTTTTGATATGCCATATTAACCAAAAGTGGTAGTAAAGACCGAGGAGGAACTATTCGTTTTAGTGCAGTGTTGTTTTGTTTTTTATTGTTCCCTTTTTTGCTTATTTTATTTTTTAAATGGGTCCAGAATCTGAGCAGGAAAAGGAATCTTTCTAGGATACGGCAGTTGTTTCAGGCTTACAAATGATTTAAAAAAAAAAATTCTTACAGAGCAAAAGATTTAAGGTATGGCAAAGGCATGTTGTTTTTCACTATTGTGCCTTTATCCAGGTTTACCTTGGTTCTTTAATAGAAAAAGACCTAGAGAATAATTGTTGTTTGCCTTTGTTTTTGGTTTTTGTCTAAAGCTTAGGTCACTAATAAAAGTGATTCCTGTCTTTCCTATTGTTGCAAGATCAGGACAGTAATGAAAATCAACTGTATCATTTTCACTGGTTGCCTTAGAGTTTTGCCAAGGGGAACCCTCAAGGGAGAGTAGTGTCCTTTTTAATCTGGGTTCGTTTGTTTCGTGAGAATGTGCTGCATGAGACAACTGAATCCAGTCAGCACGTATTGGCACCTACTGTATGAAAGCTTGGCCCTGTACAGACAATGGGTGAGCTTACAAAGAAAGACAACTTTGCTTTTGCCCTTATGGCACTTTATGTACTCCTGATTGGAACCCTGGTGGCACAGTGGTTAAGAGCTCGGCTGCCAACCCAAAGGTCGGCAGTTCGAGTCCACCTGCTGCTCCTTGGACACTCTTTGGGGCGGTTCTACTCTGTTCTGTAGGGTCGCTATGAGTTGGAATCCGCTCGACAGCAACGGGCTTGACTTGGGCAGGAAACAAAGTTGCTTGACAATTCAGATCTTTTTCAGATTCAGTGTAGGAAACAGAGTTTTCATATCCTCAGCAAGCAGCATGCCATCTTTTAAAGGCTCTTTAAAAACATTTCTGTAAACTTAAAACGTGAAGGAAACTA